CATCTAGCAGTGTGAGCGGCGCTCGGCTCGATCCGCGCAAGAGGCAGGCGGCTTCTCTCCAGCACGCTGCGCGTGGGCATCGGCCCCGTAACACCTTGGCTATGGCGGGCGCGTCCATCCCACCAGGCGCAGGAGCTCCTCCACGGCAGCGCTTGTCCCCGCAGGCACAGGCGTGCAGGCGCCGTTCATCTCGGCTGGCGAAGCCCCATTAGCTCTAGTTGTTTTTTTTTTCAAAAGAAATGCTATGTCCGCTCGACATGAGACCCAAAACAAAAGACGGATAAAAGTTTCTGCTAGACCGACTTAAATGGACAAAAAAAGGAAAATTCGTGTTCGTTTGGGTTGCTGCGTTGAGGTTGCTCTTAGAGGCTGAATTAAGAGTATCTCCAACAGCCACCCAACGCGTCGCGCGCTAAAAACCACTTTTCCGCGTGCTCTTCGTCAGGTTTTGCGCGGCCGGCAGCGCTGACTCCAACAACCGCGTTAAAATGCAGCGCGCGCGCGCCACTCCAGCAGCGCACGTGACTCGCTGGCGCATGACATATGTTGCATTTTGGACACAAAATAGATTTTAAATATTCAAAATGCAATAAACATGGCATATAAATTTCACACAATCAAGTTCATGAATAAAAATTCATGCCCACAAGTTCATCCAACCAAGTTCAAAATGAAAACAAAGTTCACGACACAAACGAAAGACACATCAAGCCTCGTCCTCGTCTTCGTCCTCATCTTCGGAAGACGATTCTTCCTCCCCTGAAGATGATTCTTCCTCCTCCTTATCATTGTCACGCACCGCATCACGTGAAGCTTGGACGGTGTTGGCAAAATCTTCAACGGCATCTCCATGAGGTGTGTGAGGCACACCGAAAGACATTCCGCCCATGGCGGTCGGAGGTGCACCCATGCCTCCCGTGAGAGAAGCAAAACTCACGCCTCCCATGGCGGCCATGGCGGCGGGCGGTGCTCCAAAGCCACCCATGGCTCCCATGGTCTCCATGATAGCTCCAAAGCGATCCATGGCACCTAAGCCGTCCACGGTAGCTCCGAAGCCATCCATGGCGCCAAGAAAAGTTATAAATATATAGAACAATGCAAATAAGCTATCTATATGTGAATGCATTCAAAAAAATAACAAGAAAAGAAAAGTTGGAAAAAATTTCTACCTTTGGGTCATATCGTCGAACACGTTGTGCGCGTCGGCCGCCGGCTCAACGAGTGAGCTCACCGGCGCTTCGGTAGCCGCCGCGCCCGTCACACGCCCTACAAGTTTCTTCCTCCTCGCCTTCGAGGTGCCGGAGCCGTCCGCCGCCTTGTTCTTCTTCGCGGATGTCTTGCCGCGCGCGCTCGTGTGTGCCGCGCGCGGAAGCAGGCACCCCAAATACACAACGCGAGTTGACGATTCGAACCGCGCGTCCAACTTCATATGCCGCGCGCGCGGTTATTGCGCGCCCGCTGAAGCCACTTCACTGATTGCACGCGTTAAAATGATTAAATTTATGTCGCGGCGCTTGTTTAGCGCGGCTGTTGGGGATGCTCTAAGGGTTGTGCTTAGCAGAGAGCGCCCAACCAAACCTCCATGGGAGGCAAAAGAAATGCAGCGCCCACCGCGGCCCGACACCGGCAGCTGCGTTCATCCCCGGGCGCCGATTAAACAAAGGGGTGGCCGGAGATCGCCGGCTCGTGGCGCACATGGGGGAGAGATCAAAGAGGAGAGCTTTTGTTCTCCCACAGGGTGGCAGGGGCGAGAATCGGAGGGCGAGGCGAGGCATGTGCTGTCAGATCTCGAGGAAAGCAGAGACATCCATCGAGCGCTGGTCCTCCTCGAGTCGTGCCCGTCACACGCACGCACGCGCCGACGCGCGGGCGCCGGTCCGCCGCGGCCGGCACGGCGATGTGCGCGGTGGTCGCCGTGCATGCACGTCGTCGTTCGTCGGCGTTCGCGGCCGGGATCTGATCTCGGGCTGCGGTTGTCCCTGCGGGCTGCGGATCTGCGGACGGGGACGGTGCACGACCGAGATTCAGCCAGCTCGCGATCCTGATCTATCCCTGTGTTTTGACCATCGGGTGGATCAGGGATCGTGGTCGTGGGGCTGCACGTCTGGACGGAACTATCGGATGTCTCACATTTGAGTGAAGTCTGATTTAAATCTTGAGGTTGTAACGAACCTTCACCTCCGAATCAAGTCTGTACCCCGTCCTCTATAATCCCGGTCGTTTTCAATCTTAATCGCTTTTTAGGAGTGGATTTGATGATGTGGCAGGGAAGGCTGCTGGCTTTTTTAGAGAAAAACGAAGGGAGTGCATGCATGGTGCCTGGTAGCTTACGCATTCACTGTCCTGGTAAATCCTGTTTTCCTTTTCCTTTTTGCGGTCAATCGCGTACATAGGCTTAGGTAGCTCAGCACAGAGATACGCATGTACACACCGGGCAAGAACAAAAAGACGCATATATACCTGTGCACTCACGTACCTGCGCGCACTGAAAGCCGCCCGGGTTACAAAACAACCGTTCCGCCGTTCGTTGGGTCGCAATGGCATGAGCACGGGTACGTGGGACGACAAACTGCATGAAGGCACGGCTATTTTTTAGCAGACACTAAAGACTAGAAGTGGCAATGGCTGGGACCAACTTAGAGCGTGTTTGGTTGCCCGCATGCAGCCCAATCAGACCCGCGCGGGATGTGTGTGGCCTGTTTGATAGCCCGCATACACTATTGGACCTGCATCACACGCTTCTTAAAGCATCTCAGGGCTTGGCTCACTGGGAATGCACAAATCGGCAGTTTTTTCAGGGACAGGCCCGAGCAGTGCACGTGGGCGGGCGCGGCTACACGCGCGCGGCCACCCTCGAGAAGCCACGTTGCTTCCCGAAGCACCGGCAGTTATTAGCCTCACCGCTCCTCACCGCTCCCTCTCCCCACTCTTCCCCACTCTCTCAACTCTCATCGGCGGCAGCGGATCGGAGCAGAGAAAGAAGACCACCGGACTCCATCACCGGTGGCGGCGGATCGGAGCAGAGGAAGAAGACCACCGGACTCCATCAATGGCAGTAAGCACTTCTCTCTCTTCGACATGCACGCTAGATTCGATCCACGACGATAGATTCGATCCACGGCGGAGGGGAATGGGCAATAGAGGTAGATAAGCATAGGGGTAGTT